CGGGTTTCAATAAAGATACATGCTCTGTTTAGGGATTATAGATCAACTGCCTGACCCCAGGGTTTGCAAGTCTGCAGATGTCTAACAGCCAGGAAAGGTACAAAGAGTCCAGACATTGTCCCTTCTCTGAAGGCATTTACCCTTCACTAACACACTTCATTCAAACAAGACTTTCCATGCTAAGGGTTGTAAGAGGCCTCCGAGGAGGGTGCTGTCGGTTCTCTTCCTGGCTCTCTTCCTTGCTCTGCTTCTCAGTGTCCCTGGCAGCAGACAGACTCCCGGGCTCTTGCTGAGCTCCTTCCCTGTAGTCTCTCCAGTCTCATCCGTTGGACACTGGGGATAGGCTGATGGCACCACACGTACTTCTCTAGCTCACGACCCACATTTCCAGCAGTGTCCTCAACCTCTCCATCTGGAGACCTGCAGACACATTCTTCACCATTCAGATGAGACACCCCCACCCCACCTGACGCCCAGCTAAGCCCCTGGTTATTCTGGATGCCACCTCACACTTCTTAGTCAGCCAGTAGGTACCAAGCAATTGCGTTTGGGGAGGAGGCAGGCCAGCTGGAAGAGAGGCAGGGATGCGGGCAGAGACAGGATGCACACATCTACTAGAGGTGAATAGTCAAGGCAGATGGTGCAAAAGAACCAATGAGCGACACGGACAGTGGATTCAACAGGAGGCCCCAGAGAGCAAGTGAGCATTTCCAAAAGGCTTCAGTCCAAGGGTGAGGGAGCCTTGGACCAGGTCAGGCAGGAGAGGCAGGAAGTCGTGTGGGCCAGAGTTGGACATTAGGTCCCCAGGGAGGTGTGTCTAGTGGTGGCCAGTAGAGAGATCTGCCTGGAGTTGAGGTTTGCCAAGAGAAGCTGAGAGCCATAGGTCAGGGTGGCCTCGAGTGCCAACTCGGGGCTTGTAACTGCATCCTGTGGGTGGTGGAAAGCCCTGGAAGGGCGTGTCAGGAGGAGGTCTGTTGGCTCATCCCTAGAGACATCCTCTCAGGACTTTAGCCCGCGCTGGTGAGTCTGCACTGTTAGAGAAGGGGAGGAAGAAATGTACCTGTGACAGAGCCAAGAGGAGTGGTCAGGGACACAGGCAGAGAAGTAGGACGGCAATGCCATGGAAAGTGAGAGGAGACGCTCCGGGGGAGGAAACGTCCACCAGGGGAGCAGCAGAGTTAGCCAGTCCAGGTAGCCGCAGAAAGGCAGCTGCCAAGGGGGAGGGGGTGGGAAGGGGACCTAGGGTCTGAGGGAAGAGGTTTCAGGAACAAAGAAGGAGTGGGCAGAATGGAAGGCAGGCCAGGCAGAAAGGGACTTTTAAGGTGGGGATGGCCTGTGCTCCTTTGAAAGCAGAGGGACAGAAGAGAAGGGGAGAGAGCTGGGGCGTGGGAGGAGGGAAGAGGAAAGGTTCTCCATGTGGGAACACAAGGAAGGGAGAAATGGTACAGAGAACAAGAGGCTTGCATTCCTGACCACGTGTAATCTCTGTATGATACTTGTTTCTTAAAAAAATCAAAAAATTCAGAAAAGGGATCTTTCCATGTGCATTTACACGTGGACTCCCCCCATATACATAGGAAGGATAATGCCATCCATCTTATTCTGTCATATGAACTTTAAAATTTAGCCGGGCACAGTGGAGCATGCCTGTAATCCCAGTGGCTTGGAAGGAGGCTATGATTGCAAGTTCAAAGCCAACCTCAGCCACAATGAGGCACTAAGCAACTCAGTGAGACCCTGTCTCTAAATAAAATACAAAATAGGGCTGGGGATGTGGCTCAATGGTCAAGTGCCCCTGAGTTCAATCCCCAGTACCAAAAATAAATAGCTAACATAAACAGAAAGGGCCAGAGGTGTAGCTTAGTGGCAAACCAGTGCTTAACGTGTCCAACCCCCCCCCCTTTTCCTTTCCTACTATCAAAATATGTTTTTTAAAAATCAGTAAGATGCCAGGTGCAGTGGGGCACACCTGTCATTCCATCAACTCTGGGGTTGAGGCCAGGAAGATCTCAAGTTCAAGGCCAGCCTCCTCAACTTAGTGAGACCCTGTCTCAAAATAAAATGTAGAAAGGGCAGGGATGTAGCTCAGTGGTAAAGCACTTCTGGGTTCAATTACCCAGTACCAAAAAATCAAAAAAAAAGCACATAAATATCTTTTCCAGGCAATAAACATGGATTCATCTGTAGATCATTGAATAACGCTCTGTAGTGCAGCTCTAACTGCCTGCGGAGAAGCACTGGGGCCGTTCACATTCCTCGGGTTTATCACAGCAAGTATCGATCTTCTCCACACACTTCTTGCCTTTTCCTCCTCTTCTAATTACTCTCTTAAGAAAAGCTCCTCAAGAGGGTTGCTGAGCCAGAGGGCAGCTATGTGAGCTACTGAGACCCAAACCAGAGAGGTGTCTTTCCCTCCCTATGCGGGGTGTGGGAGGTAGGCATCTGGAGGCAGCTGGGGAAAGGTAAAGGGTTGGGACCTAATGGTCTTCATCTTTTTGGAACTGAAGGAGGTGAGCTCATCTTTGGAGAATGACGTGGACAGAGAGGAGAAGGAACTGAGGAGTTGGAAGGCAGGCTCTTGGTGGCAGGACTTGGATGGAGCCAAGTCCATGCCACTCTCTGTCATGCTTCCACTGGGCTGGGTGGGGAAAAGCCACCACCGTGCAGAGGAAATAGGCTGAGCACTGACTCATGCCCTGGTCAGGAGAGAGGGCTGCAGGATCCAGGGCTAAGGCTGGCCCTGTGGCAAGGCTGCTCTCGGGATTCAAGGTGGGTGAAGGTAAGGGGCTAAGGGTTCAGTGCAGGTAGGACGAGGAAAAACAGTTGAGGGGTACAGAACAGGAGCCCAAGACCACACAGGGGAACAGCAATAAGCTTTGTGCCCCAGAGCGGGCAGGCTGAGCTGCGGCCAGCATAGGGATTCCAGGTCACAGAGGCTCGAGTTCCAACATAAATGTTGCCTCCAAGCAAGTTGGTGGCAGGAAACAGGATGAAGAAATCATCCAGTCCAGTGATGCCATTTTCTAGAATGGTGTTCTCCAAAGGAGGCATATCTCTGAATAACAGTCCCATAGAATTAACAGGTATATGTGTGTGTGTGCATGTTCTATACATACATACATATATGTGCACATATATAATATGTATGAATATTGTATATAATATGCACATATATTATATATAATGTGCATGTATATTATATATAATATGTATAATATACAACATATAACATTATATATATATAAAATATACACACACATATATAAATATATATTTTTAAGATGGGCAGGAAGTGCTGTGGTTAAATAAGTCTGAGAAATATTGGACTGAAATACAGATTTAAATAGGCTTTTTTTTTTGGCAGAACTTTTCAAAACATTTGCTATGCTCATGTGACTCTCTGATGATGATACAGTGCATAGCATTTTTCCAACTTCCTTGGCCAAAGAACCCCTTTATCACAAAGAATATTTTGGAATTACTCTTCCATAGGATATGTTTTGAAAAATGCATTTCTTTGAAGCTGGAATTTGTCCTGAGTGATGGGGATTGGCATATGACCATAGATGACAGTTCAGTAGGATAGAAAAACACAACCCTAATAAAAGCCACACAATCCTTTTTTTTTTTTTTTTTTTTGGTCTGAGGAATTGAAGCCAGGGGTGCTTAACACTGAGCCACATCCCTGGCCCTTTTTTATTTTGAGACAGGGTCTTGGTAAGTTGCTTAGGGTCTCCCTAGGTTGCTGAGGCTGACTTTGAACTTGCAATCCTCCTGCCTCAGCCTCCCCAAACGGCTGGGATTAGAGGTGTGCACCACTGTGCCCTGTATAATCCTTGATCAAGCATTCACTGTGTGCCAGCTGCTCTTCATTCAGCATCCTACTGAATTTTCACAGCTGCTCAGGAAAATGGAGGGTACTCCCACTGCCTTAGACCCAAGGAACAGGAAGCTCAGAAAGGGGACACTGAGTGCCACAGGACACACAGCGTGGACCTCAAATGGTGAAAAATAGCATGTGGGATTTTAAGTACCAAAGGGGATGACAGGGATCAGGAGAATTGGGGACTTCCAGCCTCTCATCTCACTGAATTTGTGGTTCCAGGAAGTGGAGAAGGGGCTGTCCCCACCCTGGGGTCCAGTGTGGATGTCATGGAGTGACTCCTGAATGGGTGAAAAGCCCAGTTCTCTTCTCCAGAAGAGAACTGGGCTTTTCACTCGAGGGGTTACTTAGAAATGGGGGTGGGCACTTGGGGTTGTCATGGAGACCAGGATATGAAATGCCTGCCGCGGAGATAAATTCCATCTGATGAAAAATTGTGCAACCCAAATTGCAGCAGCGTCCCAGTGAGAAAAGCCAAGGGCAAGAGAGGGAGGGCAGTCATCGTGGATGAGGAGGGTGTCGGATAAAGGGGGGACTTACCCCCAAGCTCTGTGATGGCCAAAACCACAGTGGAAGGCAGCAGAGGAAGCATTCAGACGCAGGTGACAGGGACTGGAAGAGGAGCCACCTGCCCCAGGTTAGCAGATGTGAGTTCAGGAACAGAGGAGCTTAAGGGTGGGGACCAACAGGGAGGTGAGCGGGAGGAAAGAGATGGCAGGACCACGGAGGCCGAGGAGGACCAGGCGCTGAGCACTGGAATCTGAAGGAGAGGCCCAGCTTGTTTGAAGCTGAGAGGGGCCGAGGATTCCCACGGGAACACAGATCACCCGCAAAGGAAACCTGGAAGGAGGCGGTGGCGCAGGGTACTAATGAAAACCACTCTGCAGCCTTAATTGCAGCCTTCTCCAGCCTTAAACTACAGCTGTGCTGCAACTTTAAAGATAGCATGGGCTCTCCAGAAGACTCTGGAAGCCTTATTTTTCCTGACCCAGTTGGCTGTTTTGAAAACCCACTCTGAACTCTGCTGAAGATAATCATCAAAATATGGCCGCGGAAGTGCCCGAAGAAAGGCCTTTTATTCCATTCCTCGAACCACCACCCACCCTCGCCGGCTCGGATGGAAGAGTGCAGTCGCAGAAAGGCGGAAGAGTGGATCCACGGCGCCTTTTTTGGCCAGCCAGAAGAAAGCAGCTTGAGCAGCGACAGTTAGCCATTGGTGAGCAGGTCCGGGTTTCCAACCCAGAGGTGGTGAGGCAAGATCAGCCCCCAGAGATGGGCCGAGACGGGCACCTCCAAGCCGACCTTCTCCGTGGCTCTGTGGGAAGAAAGGCTCAAACACAAGGCCTTCCTCCTCTGGGGCCGTCCTTCCCAGGTTTGGGTAGGAGATTGCACAAATGCACCACGGGGACAGAGGCTCCTCCAGAGCTCCCGTGGTCCCCCACTGCATCGGTCTGCTCGGGCACCCCTGGCCTTCAAGGGCAGTCTGGTTTCCCCCCGCCTGCTGCCTGTGATTTGGGCACAATGGCCACGGCAAGCGTGGAGGCTGGCTGTGCCCTCACTAGATAATCCATGAGGCTGGGACCTTCCTTTGTCACAGCTTGGGTCCTTGAGGCCTCGGACGAGGGAGGCAGCTACTGAGTCAGTGAGCAAGGTTATGACAGAGCTAGGCTCTGGGAGGGCGTTTAGGTGTTTGCTTTTTTATGATTCCCAGAGCAGCCCTGATGGGTCCCCAGGAGCAACAAGAAACAGCTTTTCCGGGGCCTGGGGTGGTAGCTCAGTGGTAGAGCACTTGCCTCGCACACGTGAGGCCCTGGGTTCGATCCTCAGCACCACCTAATAAATAAATAAACAATTTAAAAAAGAAAAAGAAAGAAACCGATTTTCTTCTGCAGTGTCCTCTCCTAAGTCCATCTCCTCTTGTTTTTGATCTTGAAGTCAACAGAATAAGAGGAAGGAAAAGAGAAAAACTGTGCACCTGGAACAGAGGCCATTTCTGCCTTCTAGCAACCTAGAGGACTCCGAGGCCTCTCCTCACACGTGCTTCCCCTGCCATTCCCAGCCACCTGGGGGTGTTATGCCGAGGCACTCCGCAGCTTCCAGCTGGTGGCAGGTTTAATTTCAAGGGTGTTTCTGCAAGACACAAAGGAGGACCACAGCCTTATTGCAGCGGGCCATGGAAATGCAGGCAGCATCTGAAGACAGTTAGCTGCAGCAGGGAGAATAACCCCTCCCACCCACACAACCCAGAGCCCTTTTAATTTTAAGGGAACAACAGCCTTATTCTCAGGCTGTGAAGTGGGGTGGGGGGAAGCAGGGCCGCATCTTACTGTCCCTGCTCTCCCCCACCAGTTCCTTCTGGGCAGCTCAAGCCTCAGGCCTGTGTGTGCTAATTTTGTCTCCGCTGCCCGAAGCCTTTACAAACTTGGGGCATAAACTCCCTAGCCACAGAGAGATCTAATAATAAACCAGATTTAAACCAGATTTGAAGTTATTAATCTTCTTTTTCATGAAAATAAGCTCATGATTAAAGCAGCAGAGGGTAAGAATTAACTCAGGACACAGGCCCTTGAAGCGTCATCCATCAGGCCCTCTGCTGAATGCCCGCTGCGGTATCAGGAGAGGAGGGAGCTTTCCTGAATGAAAGAGGTGACAAGCTGCTGGGACCGAGTGGCCTCCAAGCTGGGACCTCCCCGAGCAGGTCTCTGCAGACACTTTACACATATCTGGATCTTGCTCCAGATCCTGGACATCTGGGAACCACTGACTGGCTGGCGGGTCACTTAACCTTAGCCTTTGTAACCCAGTAGAAGTGACTCTGTGACGTGAGTTCCCTTCCCACTCCCCTGCCTGTGGCTTGCTAATTCCAAAGACACTTCTGAAAGCTGGTGCCCCCAGCCCTACGATGGCCCAGAAGACTGCAGGGGAAGAGCATGGGAATGGGAGGAGGGTCTTCTCCCACCTCCGTCCACCCTGCTTGGTCCGCCCTGGCTGATCATCCTCTAACCAATCACACCTCGGTCTTCTGCCAGGCTTTTCTTCTTCTTCCTGTTCGTGTGTGCATCCCTTCTCGGGGCAGAACAATCTCCGTATAATGTGACTTCCATGAGCCTGTGCTGGCGAAGGCTGGGCCCGTGACCGTCTCACGCATGCTTTGGATTATGTTCTCATTAAAGTGAACGAGGCCAGAGTGGCGGTTGCGGCCATGTTCCGGACACGGGTGTCTCAGGAGTCCCTGAGCCTGGGGCTCCGTCCTGGAGAAAGGAAACCCAGGGATTAGGAAGAGGGAACGCCATCCTTAGGGACTAGGGAGAGCTGTGAGTTATGGCGCTAGATGTCAGCCCGGGGAAGATGGCCAAACACTCCTGAGCTCCCCTCTAGTGAGTTCTGGGCTGGCAGCCGTCACTTCCCTTCCCACGGGCCACTCCTCACCGCACCGGAAAGCGGTCATTACTGATTCCCGCTTGCTAGGGACAGCCAATAGGAGGGGCTCTCACTGAAA